GGAACACAAGGAACTGCGGCCGGTTGCTATCGTTTTAGCTGCCTCTTTGCTTTGGGACACATGAGTAGTTGCAGTGGTCCCAGCCCTGCCCTGCCCCCACCTCCTGGGGGGGGGTGAGGGGGTCTGCAGGTAGGCAGGGGTCCCCCCACAGCATGTGCCCATGAGCTGGGGGGCGCGGGTTGGCGCCTGCACAGAGCGGAGGAGCCGGGGCTGCAGGCAGAAGACTGCTGTGCCGGGGGCTTCTCCCCCCTTCATTTGAAATACTACCTCCCACCCGGCCTGGTGGATGCAGTTTCTAAAGTGCTTACAATACGGAAACCCCACTTGGAAGCGTTGTGCCCCCTTCGCTTTTTAATCCCGAGGAGAATTTTTGCTCCAGATCTTTGCTGCAGCCAGCCCCGCGCTCCGGGGGGATGAATTCCAATGGCTGGGAAATCGCCCTGGCTTCCCAAGTAGGAGCTTTGTTTGGTCTTTGCCTGGCGGGCTGGGACATGACATGGCTTTGCAGCCCTGTATTTCTTTCTCTTTTTTTTTTTTTGCTCCCCTTCTCCGGGCGTGGAGAGGGGACTCGTTGACTCGAGGCCTTGGGAGGGTGACAAGTTTGGCAATCGTAAACCTGCTTTTTCTCCCCGCGGCGTGGGGCTGGATGGCTTTGAAATCTGCAAACTCGATTGCCAACATCTGCAGAGAAGGAAGCAGCCCGAGCGGAGGGAAAGATTTATTGGCTTCAGAAGAGGTGGCAGTGCCAATTTTCCAGGTGCTAAAACAAGAGGTGTAAAATGAAGAGCAGTAAAAGGAAGCACATGGGCAAACACCTTTTATTCCCCCACCCCCTGCTTTCTACCAAGGCCGCCGTCTGCTAAGGCAAACAGGAATATTTTCTAAAGTATTCAATATTAAACATTATCTAAAACTCAAGCCGAGGCCAGAGCCAGGGTTAGTTGTGTTTCTTTTTTAAAGGGCTGAAGGACCCTTGATTCTGCGCGGGGAGGAGGCGCACGGTTACCTTTGCAAGGGAAGGGGCCCCCACCCCTTCCCGTGTCTCTCGGTTGCTTGGATTACCTCCAGATATGAATGTTTCCCAGTTGTCCCCTCTCTTCCCGTGGGAGTGTTGCCAGCATTCAGGTTGTGGCTGGATTTTCTTGTTGCAAATCTGTTCCGCTCCTTTCCGCAATTCCAGGTCTTATAGGCACCCGTCCAAGCTTGGAGCCCCCCGTCAGCCTTCCCTGATTTTCCCTTCCCCAATTTCTCTGCTTGTTTGTTTCCCTCCAGCCACCCCCCACCCCCTACCCCATATTCCTGTTAACAAAGCTCTCGCGGAGATTGGCTCCAGCACAGAGCAGTAATTCACAGCCGGGCTAAACTGCATAAAAAAGATAGGTACAATTAGCAGTTTAAAGTTCCATTATAGCGTGGCAGTTGGTAGGCAGGGTTGGGTTTTTTTTACGGCTTTAACAATTTCATTTGAAACGATGATTGCTTCCTGCTCTTTGCAGCCCTTTTTAGGGTCGACATTTAAAAAAAAAAAAAAAAAAAAATGTTTTTTGGGGGTGGCAGGGGGGAGAAAAGGGAAGTTAGGAAAGGGTGGGAGTGTTTCAATAGACCGCGTTAAGAGCAGGCTTTAAATAATGGTGCGCTGAAGAAAGGGACTGCGAAACCTACCCCCGAGCGGTCTGAAAATAAATCCTGCCCTTTTAAAAATAGCGTGGTTTGCCGGACTTCTGAGTCTGGTTATTTGAGACCCTTGATTTCAAATTTCGGTGCTGTGCTGGCTTCCTTTGCTGAGCAATCTGGCTTCTCTTACCTTGAGTGGAGGGGACCCTGGACTCTGGCTCAGCCGGTCATGAGACTTCCAGGCATCTGTCGCTTATCTTATGCATTTCTATTTAATGTTAACTTTTAAGTAATCCTGACCTTGGGGTGGGATGGGTTGTGGGGACAGAAGTCCTTTGTTTCACCGATGCAGCCTGGCGTGGACTGCTGCAGCGAGAGAAATGGGAGGGAGGAAATGAACTCGGGAGTGGTGAGAAGGTGAGCTGGCCTCTGCCTTCTCTGCTTGGGGGCTGGCAAAACACGGCGTTCCCGGGGTCTGTGCATTCCTATGGTTCTTGGCTTGCTTGACACGGGCAGGTCTGGCACGAGGCTCTGGGATGGCGCTGGGCAGGCTGGCTGTGCTAGGCGGGAAGTTTCAGGGCACCTTCCCAAGGGCCCTGTTGAATCCCCATGAAAAATGTAGTGGGGTTGGGGGGGTGACTGTAGTGGAACAGTGACCACAGGAGCTCAGCGAGAAAATAAAGTAGCCTTAAATAAAAGGGAAAGCAAGGGCAATCGATGAAGCCAGACTGCGGAGCCCCTTAATGCACTGGCCTTTTGCCTCTGCAGGCAACCTTCGACATCTGGTGGGAGCCTGGGTTCCCCCAAACCTGTAGGTCACCAGTGAAGTGAACGTAGTGGTCTCTGCCAAATCCTCAAAGCATTTGATTGTTAACACAAGCTCCTAGGAGTGCTCCGAGCCGTGGAAAAACCTGACGCGAGACTCATGCGGACTGTGGCGGGGATGTGAGAGAGGGAGCTAGCCCAATCCCTGCCCGTAGCAGCCACCGGAGATAAGGGGCTGTGTGTGTGTATGTGTGCATATGTGCGTGTGTCAGACATAAGGGGTGCGCGCGTGCGCGTGCATGCAGGATGCCACTTGTAGATAATGCTAAATTCCACTACGGGCTGATCTGAGGCTTCCCGCAATCCACAAGCCAGGACAAACATCCCAACCGAGACCCATTTTGTATTAAGAGACTTGCAAAGCTGCCATCGGAAGGGAACAGTCT